AGGAAAATTTTTTAAAAAAAAAACATCCCCCCCCCCCCCCAACAAACAAAACCTTGCAACCCTAAAAATGGCTCAGCTGGAAAACATGAATGTCATTTGGCCTCTAGTTATTATATACCAATAATTTCATTCTTGCTCTGGTAAGATCTTTGTTAAAAGTCCATTACCTTAAAAAATGGGTGGTTTAGCTTAAGATTTCCACTGTTGGGCTGGGAAGGGGGAAGTGTATGTTTCCACGCAGACAGAAAATTGGCCTTTATTCAGTTTGGAAGGTTAAAGATCAGGATCCAGGCTAAGCGAGGTAGGCAGTCTTAGCAAGTTCCAGGGTTTGAGAGCCAGTAGGGACAGCCTCTGCTCACTAAGCCTTCCAGGAAAGTTGTGTTCAGGATTCCTTGCCCCTCCCCACTTCTCGCTGCCTGCTGTCTTCTTATCCCCTGGCTCTCTTTCCTCCCCCCAATACCCTCCCCTCAAACATACGAAAAAAAGTCCAAGGGCCTCTTTCCACTTAAGTTTCTCAAAGAATCGCCACCAGCGTGTCCATACCCTGAAGAGCGGTTCTCTGCTTGGCAGCTTGGATGGTTTTCTCTCGGGATGTCTGACTCTGAAGGCTCAAGTCTCTAGTCGGGATTTGCCCCGCGATGAGACCAAGCGTTCTGGAAGTCGGAGCACCCAGGTTCCCTATCCAGACCAAGTTCTTGCAAGTCCCAGCCAAAGCTCCGAGGGGGTGGCGGGGAGGACCTCATTTCCTCTGGTCAATTCTCTTTGCGGTCTTGGCCCGCTGACCCTTTGACCTCCACCTACAGGGCCCTTGGCGGCCGTAAGCCGGCGGTCGCCCCGGCTTCGAGGACGCTTCGCGCCCCATCGCCTCCCGGCCTCATTAGGCTGACGGGGCTGTAAAGCAGGAATCAGTCGCTGCCTAATCCGGACCTGGGGTCAATACGAGCCCAAACAATGGTGAGCTCCGAAGGCCACTGCGTAGCGTTGGCCACAAACTTTGTGATCCATTCGTTTTCTTAAGGTGGGGGTGGGAGGCGGCGAGGGAGGGAGGTACTTGTACACCCGAAAACTGCTCTTAAACGAGTGTACTCTCCCTCGACCTTCCAATCTCTTAGCAGTGCTATGGATTGGAAGGGGTGTAGAGGCCCGCACGAAAGGCTGTCCCTGCGCGGGGAAAAACAGACTTTGAAGTGAGTTTTTAGCGCACACATGTGAGAGCCCAGCCAGGGCCGAAGCCGGGACCTGCTGGGAGGAAAGAGGAGGCTCAGCCCGGGCCCTACCCCTCCCCCGCTTCCCGTCGCTCCAGCCTTTTCTAGCCCCTGCTGGGGGCCCGCCACCCCCTCCCCACTCTCGGGCCCTCTTCCCGCGCAGGCGCACACTCCACAGCCGTCGGGTCGGATTTTGCTGGGAGGTGGTGGGGGCCAGAGTTGAAAGCGCCTTTGCAGCGACGCGGCCTCCACTGAGCCAGGAGGGAAAAGAAGAGAGGCGTGTGGGAAAAGGGGGATTGGTTTTGGGGCGGCTGTCGAGTCGTGAACGTGGCGGCCTTATGCGAACCCCCGCGGAGCGCAGCAAAGCTCAGACTGAGGGCTGAAAAACTCTTCTGGTTTAAACTCCCTTGTTATTTCCCAGCTCTGAGGCCTCTCGGGAGAATGTGGGTCGTGGCGGTCAAACGCGAAATTGTTAAAAAACAGAAGCAAAGAAGTTCTTCCAGGGCATTCTGGGAGGTAGAAGTTGCGAGCCTTCTGGGGGTTGGGTTTCCCAGGGGGACTTGGATGTGAAACCTTCCAGAGCTGGCCCCACCCTCCAGTCCCGACTTAAAACCTCCGGACCCCCGTGGGGGAGGGCATACTATTTTGAGTTATAGTGCAAGGGTCGGGATTCCACAGCACCTTCCAGCCCTTAAAAATGTCAATGACTGGACAGACACTATGTTCTCTTCTAGGACAATGGAGAGGCCCATGAACGGATCACATAGGCACCTTTGCCAAAACTCTGTTTTCTGCATATCTCATTTAAACGTGGGCCTATGAAAAATGGAACTGTCGAAGCTCTTGTGTGTGCTCTAACAGCTGGTGGTCTTAACAAGAAAAATAAAAAGGCCACAATCCCGAAACTTTCATTCAACTTTGCTTAACTAACTGCCTTAATGCGAAGTGTGAAAGAACCTTTCTGATTGCTCTGAGATCTTGAGCTTGTCTTTACTCCGCAGAAAAATGCTGCAGATTTACTAAAATATAGGATTAAAAATTGTAGGTATCAACCCTCTGGCTCCTCTAGGAAAATAAGAAGCACGAATTCTTTCAGGTTGGGTGTTCTTGAAGGCCAACAGCTACACGAAAAGGCAACCTTCTTGGGGCTGATTCCTGTCAAGCATTTGGGCTTCTGAAGGTGTGGGGCAGTTCCTGTAGGGCACTTTGGAGAGGACCCCAGGTGGGTGGGCAGGTCATTAGTAATGCTGGCCCAGATCTGGGGAAAATCTACAAAACAGTGCCTTTATCTCCAGAGAACAATTGATGGGGTTGTCTTTCCTCCTTTTCAGTGCACAAAGAATAAGGCTTTGGAGCAAGAATTCGGAATATGCATTTAAGTTGCCATACTTCACTGGAAACCCATGGGCAATTAAAATAAGCATACGCTGTAGTATTTTCTTCCCTTTTCTTATGTGTGATTCCTTCAAGTCAAGGGTGCTGCAGACAGTTTGAAAACTTGTTTTGAAATTGCCATCAAATAGATCATTCCCCTTTTCCCCCCTTGGGCAAACTTTCCTTTCTGGGTTCAGCCACTCCCCTCCACTCCCTCAATGGACCATGGTACTGACATCTTGAGATCAAAGGAAGTAGATGGTGCTTGCTGTATACTTTATTTTTCCATGCTGTAGTTTGAACCCTGAGTTTTGAGATTTTTCTTGGTTAAAACTCTTGGTACAAAAAGTGTGAAAAGTGAAAAGTTCATTCACTTGAAAAAGCTTTAGCTAATGGTTAGGCAGTTTGTCTCTTTAAGAACTAAAAAAAGCCAGATTGTTTCTTAATTTGACTTTAAAATCAAGCTAAGCCCTGGACAGGTAGCTCAGTTGGTTAGAGCATCTTCCTGAAACACCAAGGTTTCGGGTCCCATCTCCTATCATGACACATAGAAGAAGCAACCAGTAAGTACATGGGTAGGTCATAACAGATTGATGCATATCTCTCTCTCTTTCACCAATAAAAAAATTAAAATCTAGCTAAAGATACACTGGTGAACTGTCTCCACTGGATTCCTGTGGTGTTCTTTGGATCATTTGATATGATAAAAGTCTGGTCAACTTTTAGAGGAGTTAAGTGAATGGAATTTCTGCAAAACTGGATGAATGATAAGTTGGTAGAAATCATAGTTGTTTGAATGACGACACCAAAGGGCACTGCCTTTCCCACTGAGGTTTGGTTTCTACAATAACTATTAAAATTTACAGCTTGAAAAACACTTATATTGCAGAAAGCATTTAAATGAGGGAGTGCAGAGCATTTGAACTAATAGTAACTTAACACAAGAGCAAAACTTCTTTGAATAAGATTAGAGAAATTCATGTTTTTTAAAAAATTGTTAAAACTAAAGAAATACCTTTCTTTAAAAATCATTTATCAAAGCAAACAATTTTGTGATGGTAGTTCAACCTGTGTACAAATCTGATGAATGTGAGCTTTAGAGCAACTATAAAAATAACCTTCACCAGATGGCAAGTTTATGATATTTGATGCTTAATAGAATGTACATGTTATCTAATGTGTTTTATTAAAAGCCAGCCTATGAAAGACCATTTGAAATATAAAGTGTTAAAAATAACAGGTTCCATCATGTTTTATTATAAACTACCATTTGAAACAACATCCAGTAACATTTTATTAAAATTTTTAAGAGTAAATGTAGC